TATATTTAAAGATTTTGAAACTCTTTATAATGTACTTTGTATTAGAATATCCTAACATAATTTTTTCATAAAACAGCTCTTATGAGTTACATGTGATCGACAATTTCGTCCATTCTTGACATATTATCATCTATTTGTGCATGCATATATTTAATCATTCGCATAAGATGCTATTCGGAGCCTAATAGAATTCATAAAACATCTACATATATATAATCATGTCAAATTATTTTGTGCGAAGATCAGACGCAGAACATCGTCCGGAGACCAAGTAGAATTCATCACATCAGCAGTACCAAGCAGCGGTGCCTAGCAAGAGGTGACGTGGCACATTTTGGATGACTTTTGATGTCCGTACAAAATAATTAATCCATAATTAGAGAGAAAAGCTTATATTTGACACTAATTTAAATAGAGATAAAGTATGAGTGCAACCCTTCTACAAAATAACCTTACATTTATGCACAATATATATAACTCCTATAAGTGAATTGAAATACAAACATAAATTACAATTATCTCAAAGTCAACAAAAAGAATTCTCCAACAATATAACACAAATATGATCCACAAAAATCAACGAAAGCACAAGAGATAAATGCTTTGTTTTGGACGATTTTTTTACTGTTTTCTAAAGCAGCTTCTTAATTCTTAATAAAAAATTTTCGTTCTAAAAAGCTGCTTTAGAAAATAATAAGAAAATTATCTCAAACAAAGTCAAAATTAGCTCATATTAAACACATATTATAAGTTGAATAATATAGTCAATAGATGAGATAAATGAATTCATTGCCGCTATATAATCACACATAAATTCACAATTCCTTTCCATATGTAGTATAGCTAACGAGAAGTTGACTAAGTTGACTCAAATCAATAATTACTACATCAAAAGAAAGAAAAAAGACAAATGATCTAATATTTTTAGAGCATCAAAGTCAATATATACGGCACAAACAATGTGGTAAATTTATATTTAATATAACAAATATGTTTTTTTTTTTTTTTTGGCATTGATAGGATGATATAGACAAATTTGGACTCATTAGGAGCTTGAAGTTTATTATGCCGTT